AGATATAGATATAGAGAGAGAGAGAGAGATATACACACACTCTCTCTCTCTATCAAATAAAGGCAATAAAAAGCCCCCCCAGTTTTGTTTTTAAAAAGCACACCTTTAGTACTAATATTTATGTTTTGGTTGAGATGTCCGGGACAAGTAGCACCCTGATTTTATTAAGCAGACTGGGCACTGGTCATGACATGACCGATCTACATTAGATAGGGTTTTCTTTGTCAGTGTCATTACTTTATCTTGATAGAGTGCCTTCAAAAAATACATCCCAAATCCTAGTGTTAAACCAGGCTCTGGCTTCTGGTCAAAAACAGTGTGGTGCAGATTCCAATCAACCAGATTGTCTGTCAAAAGGACGGCTCAGGTTTAAGTCCTTGTATTGGCAAGTATCCACCCCATGCTCTTAAGCTCTCCAGCTCCTGAGGCTGACCTTTGACCTCAGAATGGAGGAAAGAAAGGGAGCAAATTGCCCTACAGAGACCAATTAAAAACACTGTATATTTTTGTGTATTTTGTCAGGCTCTGTTAGAGCTTATTATATCAGGATCAGTGTTGGACTAATTAAAAGCAATTTGAAATAAAGCAGAGAGCACTGAGATCTAGATCTACTGGTATACAAGTTTTATTGTGCATTAGAACATCTGAGGAATATTTCTTTGAATACTTAAATACTCAGTGTTTTATGTAGTGTTATAACAATATTTTGTTTTGAAAAGGAAGCAATGTTAAAGATGTTGGCATTTCCTATGTAGCAGTTTTTACTGTAAAAACTGTTTAAATTGAAATCATTGATGAAAACTATGAATATTGGCTGATATATTATATATATTGGTGTCAGCCTGAAAAATCCAGTATTGATTAGGAGATACTGTTTTTGCCAAGTCTTACTACTGTACTCTTCAGGGGGGAATGCCACGTATTGGTTGGCAAGACATCAAAACTCACAAAAATACAGAGTGGGATGATGTTGAACCGTTGTATCGGTGGGATGTGGTTTGTGTGCATAAAGAGTATAGCGAGCTAAACCTCTGGTTCATGTGCTGATGTGTCCTCGTGTCAAAGACTCTTAAAGAACAACAGCAAAGCAGCCATTATAGAAAAAGAATGAGTGTATGACAGAGAGAGAAAAGAAACAAAAGAAGAAAACAGAGGGACAGACAGTGATGGAAAGAGGAGAGGAGAGGAGAGGAGAGGAGAGAGGGAGCCTTGAGGAGAGGCCTCACATAGAGCAGCTATTGTCCAACAACACAGGCTATATCAGAGAGCACGCAGACACACACAAACTACAACCCCCTTATTTTTTCCTCCTTTGTACAGTACTCGGTGTGCTATGAGAAAAATGTAAACCATTCGCCTACAGGCTATCTGACTTCTTCACACTTTTTTTGGTGTCGTTCTCTCTCATGTTCAGCTTCAACCTCAGGGCTGCGTGTTCCTTCTGCATTCAACAGGAATCAATGAGCCATCTCAGAGGAATGCCACAACAGAAGAAACAAATGTGATGAAGATGGTCAAGAAGCCCTAAAGAAAGACATTGAAAGTGTGTGTTCGTCATGATACAGAAAGCTATTTTAACATCAGTGCCTTCAGTTTGGGTAAACTGACTATGAGGATGTTAGAAAAGGAGTTAAGTAATGGAGGTTAAAGGTTCACTGTGTAGGATTTAATGGCATCTAGCAGTTTAGTTGCAACTCCCTCCCTTCCAAGTGCGAAAGAGAAACTACCGTGGCTGCAAAACAACAACAGTAAAAATAATGCATTTATTTCATGTAACGCTTTAAAAGGCACGTAAGCGATCTCTGGTGATGGAGTGGGTGAGCAAAAGGAGCAGGTGAGTTTTGGATGTACTGTAGTTTGTTGAAAATACTGTTTTAGCAGCTGAGAAGGAGAGGGAGACGGATGTTACGATGAACGAAGGTAGTTTTTGTAATGTTCTTAACACACTTTGCTCAAGCTAGGCTGCAAATGTGGATAGATATATTTATTCAGTGCCTTTTTAAATCGGGCATCAACCTCATGTACGGAAAAATAAACATGGAAGCGCAAATACGCCTCAGGTCACATTTATGCCCTTAAGACAGCTGTCTGCACGGACACGGGGCACAGAGAAAGCTGGAGAGTAAAAGTACACAGTGTGTCTGTGCTTGGTGCATCATCTTCAACATTACAATCAAAATCATATCCATATCCTTAAGTACTCTTACGGAGGGCAGGACAAAGTTTTGGTGAGCAGGTCTGGAGAACGGAGATGGGAAAAGAGATGGCAAAGTGGTTTGTAGTTAAGGGTTTAAAATTCACTTGTGCGGTCATCCACTCCACCAGAAAGAGAGACTAGTTCTGACATTAACACCTTAGTTCTGATAGTAAGTTGATTAAAATATCGCCGTAGGAAAACCAATTGTGGATCACCCCTTCAATCATCGATAATAATAATATCTGATCAGCACAAGTCTGTGGCAATACACCGGTTTTTGCATGGATGTGTGTGATACAATAAAACAAAAGTCAGACTGGCCTAAAAATAGACTTTGGGCTGCAGCTAAGATATGATTGAAGAAAATAAAAAACAATAAGATAAAAAAGAGACGGAAGAGATCTGTGTCTGTGGGCTGGAGAGACGGGGCAGACAGGAGTGAAAGTGGGTCAGCAAGCTCAGCACAAGCAGAGATGAGAGCCTTCTGAGACTGACACAAAACAGAGAAATCCTCCTACATTTACATTTAAGGCGTTTAGGCGCAGATGTAATCCACAGAAACTTGCAATTAATGAGCATGTAGGTATTCAGTGTTTCTTTCAAAGACACTTCAGCATGACAGCAGGTAAGAAAAAACTAATTGTTGCAAGATCCCATCACCCTGCTGTTACTGTTACTTAATTTTCACCAACTACAGGCTACATTATCATTTAGAGACCATTTTTCTCAGATATTTTTTTGTCATTTTTTGTTCTGAATGCCACATATTCTTTTGAAGTCTTATTGAGAGCCACACTTTGGCTTTAGTGTCATTTCATACAAAAATTCTGCTTTCAAAAGATTACATTTTGTACAATCTAAATACTTTAGTCAGCTCCATGTTGCTTGAATGTACTTTTGTTGTGTATCAGCTGCTAGGCACTCTGACGTTTTATGACAGCACATGCTGTTCAATACAAAATCATGTGCTTATGGGCATGTGAGTAGAAAGATACTTTTGGCTGTTACCCACATAAAGATGAAGTGAAGTGGTTAAAAACTAAGTGAATCTGTTCCATAAGTTGGATGTCAGAAGGAAGAGGAAGACGTTAAATATTGTGTCTTTACAGAGCTCCAGGGAGCAGACGGGTGGTTTCACAAACAGTCAGTCATCCTGTGATCTCTAGCTCTTAGGACAAAACGTGTCACTTAAAATCATTGACATAAAAAAAGCTTGCTCATCAAAAAATGACTTTGGCAGTGTAAATGTGCCTGTGGTAAAACCCTCAAGGCTCTGTGTGCACGTCTATCAGCCTGCATGGTTGGAAGTGAAGGGTGTGTCAGGATGTGATGTTGCTGCTGCAGCCCTATCTTTCCTGTAGGAAGGAACCACTTCACATATAACGCCACACACACACACACACA